CTATGTTTACTGTCAGTGTATCTGTAGGGTTAGTACTAATGTTTCCTGTCAGTTTGACTTACAGTAGTTCACTGCTAGTGTTACTGTAGGGGTGGTACAGATGTTTATTGCCAGTGTTACATTGTAATGAAGGTGTGGTACCTATGTTTACTGTTAGTGTTACTGTAGGGGAAATACCTATGTTTGTATCTGCAGAATCAAAAAAATACCTCTATAACTGTCAAGATGATTAGTCATTATAGATGAAGGACTGATACATACCTGTAAGATTATCATGGTGATGACGTAGGCAATAGACACGCCGATGACCTTGTGTATTTTATCGTGGTATACCTTGGTACAGAACTACAACACAGACCGCTCAGTAATCATATAAATCTCCTTAATAAATTATAATACTTAATACAAAATTTTAACTTTCAAAAAATCATTTCACATCAAAATTCCCCTAATAACTACAACCCAGAACAGTCAGAAATCATCCCAACAAACAAATATATACTTCCCCAAATAACCTCAAAACTAAACTGTCAATAATAATAACATCACCTGTTGAAATCCGTCCGAGTCTGTATTTATTTTGCAGATTACGATAAACTTACCTGTTGAAATGAGTCCGAGTCTGTATCTGTTCTGTAGGAGCAGTTCGGAGACTTATCGCAGCAATAAGCCTATAAAATTCAGCATTTGCTATAATAGTATGAAGGTATCAAAACCTTAAAAATTATGTTAAAACAGTGTGCTTTTTATAGAATTACTTCTGAACTACAAAGTGTATACTATAATATGTATAGACAATGATAAGTCCGAACACATACACTGTATTTGCATTTGTGACGTCATAGATTGATCATATCCTGTTTATCAGACTATAATTGTGCGTTTATTCCAATATTGCATTGATTAAACGATTATTTCTGTTAAAGTACCAGTATCAGATTCGTCAGGTGTCCATACCCAGAGAGAGTTACGGAATGCAGGATATAAACAACATGTATTGTACCAGTATCAGACTCGTCAGGTGTCCAGACCCAGAGAGAGTTACGGAATGCAGAGTATAAACAACATGTATTGTACCAGTATCATATTCGTAAGGTGTCCAGACCCAGAGTATAAACAACATGTAGTGTACCAGTATCAGATTCGTCAGGTGTCCAGACCCAGAGTATAAACAACATGTAGTGTACCAGTATCAGATTCGTCAGGTGTCCAGACCCAGAGTAAAAACAACATGTATTGTACCAGTATCATATTCGTCAGGTGTCCAGACCCAGAGTATAAACAACAGTATTGTACCAGTATCAGATTCGTCAGGTGTCCTGACCCAGAGTATAAACAACATGTATTGTACCAGAATCAGACTCGTCAGGTGTCCAGACCCAGAGTATAAACAACATGGATTGTACCAGTATCAGATTCGTCAGGTGTCCAGACCCAGAGTATAAACAACAGTATTGTACCAGTATCAGATTCGTCAGGTGTCCAGACCCAGAGAGAGTTACGGAATGCAGAGTATAAACAACATGTATTGTACCAGAATCAGACTCGTCAGGTGTCCAGACCCAGAGTATAAACAACAGTATTGTACCAGTATCAGATTCGTCAGGTGTCCTGACCCAGAGTATAAACAACATGTATTGTACCAGAATCAGACTCGTCAGGTGTCCAGACCCAGAGTATAAACAACATGAATTGTACCAGTATCAGATTCGTCAGGTGTCCAGACCCAGAGTATAAACAACAGTATTGTACCAGTATCAGATTCGTCAGGTGTCCAGACCCAGAGAGAGTTACGGAATGCAGAGTATAAACAACATGTATTGTACCAGAATCAGACTCGTCAGGTGTCCAGACCCAGAGTATAAACATCATGTATTGTACCAGTATCAGATTCGTCAGGTGTCCAGACCCAGAGTAAAAACAACATGTATTGTACCAGTATCAGACTCGTCAGGCGTCCAGACCCAGAGTATAAACAACATGTATTGTACCAGAATCAGACTCGTCAGGTGTCCAGACCCAGAGTATAAAAAACATGTATTGTACCAGTATCAGATTCGTCAGGTGTCCTGACCCAGAGTATAAACAACATGTATTGTACCAGAATCAGACTCGTCAGGTGTCCAGACCCAGAGTATAAAAAACATGTATTGTACCAGTATCAGATTCGTCAGGTGTCCAGACCCAGAGAATAAACAACATGTATTGTACCAGTATCAGATTCGTCAGGTGTCCTGACCCAGAGTATAAACAACATGTATTGTACCAGTATCAGACTCGTCAGGTGTCCAGACCCAGAGAGAGTTACGGAATGCAGGGTATAAACAACATGTATTGCAAACAAAGTCATAATACTAAAACGTTAGATTCAGTTACCAAAGTTAACATAACATATGTGTTAGGTTGTTCACCTACTAAACGACATTAAATGTCCCAGAGAGGAAGTATAGCTTCTAAAAGTCGAAGCCTTACTATCAAGAATTTATGTAATGATTGTAAAACGCAAATATATCTTTCTTTTATTTCACAATTTATAAGTTGAGGAACTAACATTTTGTATGTACAAATGTTGTTTAATGTTATAAGTTATCAGTTACAAATGGAACCCATGGCGTTACATATATAAACATAACAAAACTTTTATCCTATGGAAACTTATGATAGATCCTCTCTATACACATACATGTAACGTTGCCTTGTGATATGCATTACATCAGCGAACCTTAAACGTTATATATACAAACGTTAAATTCATTTTAGAATGATCACGTCGGCTGATCTCTGAGTGTCTTAAATGATGTTTGTTCCGACAAGAATAATACATACCACGTCTAGCACCCGACTCAGAAGTCCAAGAATCACAACGTTACAGGCCCACAATACAATTGTCACGAATAAAAGCTGCAATATAAATCAATCATACATTTGTATAACGTTTCATGACAAAAACAAAGATAAACCGGAACTGTGAGCTAAAGGCTAACTAATACTCCCCGCTCACATATCAACCGGAACTGTGAGCTAAAGGCTAACTAATACTCCCCGCTCACATATCATCCGGAACTGTGAGCTAAAGGCTAACTAATACTCCCTGCTCCCATATAAACCGGAACTGAAAGCTAAAGGCTAACTAATACTCCCCGCTCTCATACAAACCGGAACTTAGAGCTAAAGGCTAACTAATACTCCCCGCTCACATATCAACCGGAACTGTGAGCTAAAGGCTAATTAATACTCCCCGCTCACATATAAACCGGAACTGTAAGCTAAAGGCTAACTGATACTCCTCGCTCTCATACAAACCGGAACTTTGAGCTAAAGGGTAACTAATACTCCCCGCTCCCATATAAACCGGAACTGTGAGCTGAAGGCTAACTAATACTCCCCGCTTTCATATAAACCGGACCTGTGAGCTAAAGGCTAACTAATACTCCCCGCTCCATATAAACCGGAAATGTGAGCTAAAGGCTAACTAATACTCTCCGCTCACATGTAAACCGGAACTGTGAGCTAAAGGCTAACTAATCCTCCCCGCTCCCATATAAACCGGAACTGTAAGCTAAAGGCTAACTAATACTCCCCGCTCCCATATAAACCGGAACTGCAAGCTAAAGGCTAACTAATACTCCCCGCTCCCTTATAAACCGGAACTGTAAGCTAAAGGCTAACTGATACTCCTCGCTCTCATACAAACCGGAACTTTGAGCTAAAGGCTAACTAATCCTCCCCGCTCCCATATAAACCGGAACTGTAAGCTAAAGGCTAACTGATACTCCCCGATCTCATACAAACCGGAACTTTGAGCTAAAGGCTAACTAATCCTCCCCGCTCCCATATCATCCGGAACTGTGAGCTAAAGGCTAACTAATACTCCCTGCTCCCATATAAACCGGAACTGAAAGCTAAAGGCTAACTAATACTCCCCGCTCTCATACAAACCGGAACTTTGAGCTAAAGGCTAACTAATACTCCCCGCTCCCTTATAAACCGGAACTGTAAGCTAAAGGCTAACTAATACTCCCCGCTCCCTTATAAACCGGAACTGTAAGCTAAAGGCTAACTAATACTCCCCGCTCTCATAAAAACCGGAACTGTAAGCTAAAGGCTAACTAATACTCCCCGCTCTCATAAAAACCGGAACTGTAAGCTAAAGGCTAACTAATACTCCCCGCTCTCATAAAAACCGGAACTGTAAGCTAAAGGCTAACTAATACTCCCCGCTCACATATAAACCGGGACTGTAAGCTAAAGGCTAACTGATACTCCCCGCCCTCATACAAACCGGAACTTTGAGCTAAAGGCTAACTGATACTCCCCGCTCCCATATCAACCGGAACTGTAAGCTAATGGCTAACTGATACTCCCCGCTCTCATATAAACCGGAACTGTGAGCTAAAGGCTAACTAATCCGCCCAGCTTTCATAAAAACCGGAACTGTGAGCTAAAGGCTAACTAATCCGCCCAGCTTTCATAAAAACCGGAACTGTGAGCTAAAGGCTAACTGATACTCCCCGCTCCCATATCAACCGGAACTGTGAGCTAAAGGCTAACTACTACTCCCCGCTCACATATAAACCGGAACTGTGAGCTAAAGGCTAACTAATACTCCCCGCTCACATATAAACCGGAACTGTAAGCTAAAGGCTAACTGATACTCCCCGCTCTCATACAAACCGGAACTTTGAGCTAAAGGCTAACTAATACTCCCCGCTCCCATATAAACCGGAACTGTAAGCTAAAGGCTAACTGATACTCCCCGCTCCCATATCAACCGGAACTGTAAGCTAATGGCTAACTGATACTCCCCGCTCTCGTATAAACCGGAACTGTGAGCTAAAGGCTAACTAACACTCCCCGCTTTCATATAAACCGGAACTGTGAGCTAAAGGCTAACTAATACTCCCCGCTCCCATATCAACCGGAACTGTGAGCTAAAGGCTAACTAATACTCCCCGCTCACATATAAACCGGAACTAGAAGCTAAAGGCTAACTGATACTCCCCGCTCTCATATAAACCAGAACTGTGAGCTAAAGGCTAACTAATACTCCCCGCTCCCATATCAACCGGAACTGTAAGCTAAAGGCTAACTGATACTCCCCGCTCTCATATAAACTGGAACTGTAAGCTATAGGCTAACTGATACTCCCCGCTCCCATATCAACCAGAACTGTGAGCTAAAGGTAACTAATACTCCCCGCTCCCATATAAACCGGAACTGTAAGCTAATGGCTAACTAATACGTCCCGCTCCCATTTTAACTGGAACTGTAAGCTATAGGCTAACTGATACTCCCCGCTCCCATATCAACCAGAACTGTGAGCTAAAGGTAACTAATACTCCCCGCTCCCATATCAACCGGAACTGTAAGCTAATGGCTAACTAATACGTCCCGCTCCCATTTTAACTGGAACTGTAATCTTAGGAATAACTAAGCCAAAACATTGCAAAGCAATCCATAGTCTCCCACCAGTAATGATTTCTTTATTTTCTGTGCTGTACACTTTTTTAAGTATATAGGTCACTGTGACATATTTCCTGAACTCTCTCTCCCTACCAAAACATACATGGATACCAAATCTTGTTAGTCTAGATGAACTAGCATAAGATATTCCCAAAACGAACTTTTTCAGAGGCTGGGGTCAAAGGTAAAACAACAGGTCACGGTGACCTACTTTTTGCATTTTATATTTCACCATCCCATACACAGATTCTTTTTCTAAAAATAGGAATTTACATATTCTTCTGCTGTCAGTTCTACAACATAAATAAACGTTTAGTAATTACAAGGACAAACTAAAATAACCCGATAAAGCCGCCATATATGAAATTTTAAATATGGGGTGAAAAGTATGATTCCCCTCAAACAGTGATCCTAAATGGACATGAAACAAATGAAATAAATGAAACATCATGATAGTGGGAAGATATCATACACTATGTAGCTGTCAAGTTGTGCTGAAATCAGCCTAGTAGTTTAGGATGATATGTCCGGAGAAGGATTTTTCAACAAAATGCCATTTCACCGTTAAAAAGCGTCAGAATGAAAACATACTTCCCTGATGCACAAAATCAGGGTGTAATTGCCATATTGTAAACTTTCATTGTAATCGGTCGCACATTTTTAGAGGAGTTGTCCGGACAAGGATTTTTTCAACAAAGGGACATAACTTCATAAAAAGGGTCGCAAAAAGTGCCAGGATGCAAAACATCTGGGGAAACTGATCAGATCTGAAAATGTTCGCTGAGATTGGCACTGTAGACTTTTGAAGGAATTGTCCGAAAAAGGATTTTGAAACAAAGGACCATAGCTTCGTACAAATGAGTCATAATGAGAAAATAATACCTGAATACACCAAAAAAATCAGCAGATAGTTATAATATCTGAACATTTTCGTTGAAATTGGCCCCGTAGTTTTTAAGGAGTTGTCTGGACAAGAATTTTTCACTAAAGGGTTATTACTTCGTGAAAGAAAGGTCAGAATGAAAAATATGCACAACTTCAGGTGGTAGTTATCATATCTGGAATCTTTCGTTGAAATCGGTCCATAACTTTAGAAGGAGTCGTCTGGACAAATATTTTTATGGACAGACAAACGGACGGACGGACAGAAAAGCTGATTCCAGTATACCCCACCTAACTTCGCTGGGAGAGATATAATGAAAGGAGTGGATCAAAATAATAGACATATAGATGAACATGTATAAAAGGGGATTCATGATGAACCGAAAACATATACCAAAGACCTAGACTGAACTTAACAAGTAAACTCAAGTTTTGCAATGATATAGTATTATTTTTTGCCATATCACATGCTTAGGTCATAACAAATCAGTAACGTTTTTTATATGAATAACAACAGTACTTATATTCCATATTTACTGTGTTTCATAAGGACATACACCTCACAGCCAGTTTGTCATTACCAAATTACAAATCTAACAGTCTATATCTGGTTACCAAGGGACAAATCTAAACAGTCAGTAACTGGTTACCAAGGGATAAACCTAGACAGTCAGTTACTGGTTACCAAGGGACAAACCTAGACAATCAGTTACTTGTTATCAAGTGACAAAACTAGACAGTCAGTTACTGGTTACCAAGGGCGAACCTAGACAGTTAGGTACTGGTTACCAAGGAACAAACCTAGACAGTCAGTTACTGGTTAGCTACTAACAAACCTAGAGAGTTAATTAGTTACTGGTTACCAAGTGACAAACCTAGACAGTCATCAGTTACTGGTTACCAAGGGACAAACCTAGACAGTCAGTTACTGGTTACCAAGGGATAAACCTAGACAGTCAGTTACTGGTTACCAAGGGACAAACCTAGACAGTAAGTTACTGGTTACCTACTAACAAACCTAGAGAGTTAGCTAGTTACTGGTTACCAAATGACAAACTGACAAACAAACTGATAAACCAAGACAGTCAGTAACTGTTACCAAGGAATAAACCTAGACAGACAGTTACTGGTTAGCTACTAACAAACCTAGACAGTCTGTTTCTGGTTACCAAGGGACATTTCTAGACAGTCAGTAACTGGTTACCAAGGAATAAACCTAGATAGTCAGTTACTGGTTACCAATGGATAAACCTAGATAGTCAGTAACTGGTTACCAAGGGACAAACCTAGATAGTCAGTAACTGGTTACCAAGGGACAAACCTAGACATCCAGTTACTGGTTACCAAGAGATAAACCTAGACAGTCAGTAACTTGTTACCAAGGGATAAACCTAGACAGTCAGTTACTGGTTACCGAGGGATAAACCTAGATAGTCAGTGACTGGTTACCAATGGATAAACCTAGATAGTCAGTAACTGGTTACCAAGGGACTAACCTAGACATCCAGTTACTGGTTACTAAGAGATAAACCTAGACAGTCAGTTATTGGTTACCAAGGGACAAACCTAGACAGTAAGTTACTGGTTACCAAGGGATAAACCTAGACAGTCAGTTACTGGTAACAAAGGTTAAACCTCGACAGTCAGTTACTGGTTACCTACTAACAAACCTAGACAGTCAGTTATTGGTTACCAAGGGACAAACCTAGACAGTAAGTTACTGGTTCCCAAGGGATAAACCTAGACAGTCAGTTACTGGTTACCACATCACAAACCTAGACAGACAGTTACTGGTTACCACATAACAAACCTATACAGTCAGTTACTAGTTACCTACTAACAAACCTAGACAGTCAGATACTGGTTACCTACTAACAAACCTAGACAGTGAGTTACTGGTTACCTACTAACAAACCTAGACAGTCAGTTACTGGTTACCACATAACAAACCTAGACAAACAGTTACTGGTTACCACATAACAAACCTAGACAGTCAGTTACTAGTTACCTACTAACAAACCTAGACAGTCAGTTACTGGTTACCACATAACAAACCTAGACAG